AGTTAGTACCTTACTCCTAGGTTTATAAAATACAAAGTCCCTATCTGTCTTCTCTTTAAAAGGATTTTGTCCTCCTCCCAATGAGATTTACAAAGTGGGGGACAAAATAATTTAAAAAATATAAAGATACAAATCCATAGTATTTGTAATAGATTATAAGAGAGGTCATTTTAATCCTGGCCCTTCCTTCTGCAAGGTCTCTGTAGGGCAGAACCAGTACAAAGGCAGTGGAAATCCAGGAAAAAGGATGAAGTTTACATGAGGTGGGAATATTCACCAGCAGCTACAGCTGCCCGGTGGTGGAATGAGCTGTCCTATGATGATGGGAAGGGTAAGCTGAGGCTGTAGGGTGAGCAGTGATTCCAACATTTTAGTTATAAGGAACTTTTGTTGTAAGATGTATGACTCTTTAAATGTCTATTATTGAGCTGGGCATGGTGCCTGTAATCCCAACACTTTGGGAGGCCGAGGTAGGAGGATTCCTTGAGGACAGGAGTTTGAGACCAGCCTGGGCAACATAGCAAGGCTCTGTCTCTACAAAAAGAGTTAAAAATTAGCCAGGCATGATGGCATATGCCTGTAGTCCCAGCTGCTCAGGAGGCTGAGGCAGGAGAATCGCTTGAGCCCAGGAGTTCGAAGTTCTAGTGAGCTATGATCATGCCACTGCCCTCCAGCCTGGGTGACAGAGACCCTGTCTCAAAAAAGTCATTCAGTACATGCATGACAAAGAGCTACTTGAAACTAAGCCACACTTTTAAATTTTTATTGAATTGCAGTCTACACCTATTTGCTGTGAGGGACATGCTTATTTGGCCCAAAGACAATATTTGATGCACATGTGGATTTGAGGGTCCTCTGCTGTCAAAAGGGGGTTAATGGTCCACAGATGCATAATAAATTCATGCATGGAGTAAGCAGAGGTCGGAGTGATAAGCTTCCCAGTTTCAAAACTATATAAATTTAGTCATTTATACATTATGTGCCAGTCCTGTAACGTGTGATGTTAAGGACCCGCTGGTCCAGTATGGGCACATCAGGAAGCTTGTGCAATCTCTCTCCAGCCCTTGGGACTTTGTATGGCCCAGCCTGCTTTGTACTTCCTACCTCTCTGTTCTCTCTGAAGCAAGGTCCTGAGGTCTGTGTGGTGTCATCTCCCAAAGTAGGCCCCCACCTTCTCCCCAGCCCCTGGGGCTAGCTGCAGAGAAGGTGTTTGTGACTGCCGCTTCTCACCTTCCCATGAAGCCCCAGGACACAAATTTGGGAACCTTTTGACTCTGCTGCTAACACAGCAAATAGGAGGCTCCCAAATTAACACACCAGGGATGTAATTAGGGTCTGTAATCAGGAAGTCCTTGTACTCATGGACTGTAGTTAATTTATAATTCCTGACTCTCTCAGGAAGTTGCTTTTGGCTTAAATCCTCTGGCTCCATACCCCAAAGGTAATGATTATCAGACCACCCCACCTTCTGATGCTGCCTTTACTAAGCAACCAAGGTCTGAAAACTATGTCCAAGCCCATGAGTAGATGGCAGTTTTGGGGGAAAGGGGCATTTTGCATTTCTGAGAACCTCTCTAATTTTCCTCAGGTAGGAAATATGACCTGTAAATATGGATTTTGGTCATTAACATTAAAGACATACATAGTGCTGGCAAACCTTGTCTCTAAAATCACAGATGATGAGAAACTGTTGTTTGGAATCATTTCAGTGGGAATGAAACGTCCCGGTCTTGTCTGAAGACTGGGCATGGGGGTCATTTCACATCATTCCACACAAAGACACAGCTTCAGCATCAATCCTCCCCAGGGGCCAGCACTCCATATTTATCTTAACTTTTATACTTATAAGGAACAAGGACCCTGAGTCTGTTTCTCAGCCCTGCTGCTAATCAGAATGTGATGTTCCTAGTGAAGCCTAAAATAATGTTTTTAATAGGACATGATTCTCCCCAGACCACACGACTTTTGTGAGTGACTGACCACTGACATCCCCAGCCCCCGTGAACATTCTCCTGTCTCCTGAACAAAGATTACTGAGAAACAAAATTCCTAAACTTCCCGTGATTCAGGACTACCCAATCCACAGCTGACCCCACTTCCTCTGGTCTCAGACTCACTGAGCATAAGCACAAGTCCTAAACAAAGCCTCTTCTAGTCCCTCTTCCTGAGCTTCTCCTCTGTCCTCCATAGCATGCAGTCTCCCTTGCTACAGCAAGTTAATAAAACTAACTTTGGGCCAGGTGTGGTGGCTCACACCTGTAATTCCAGCACTTTGGGAGGCCAAGGTGGGAGGATCACGAGGTCAGGAGTTTGATACCAGCCTGGCCAACATGGTGAAACCCTGTCTCTATTAAAAATACAAAAAAAAAAATTAGCCAGGCGTGGTGGTGCATGCCTGTAATCCTAGCTACTCAGGAGGCTGAGGCAGAATTGCTTGAACTTGGGAGGTGGAGGTTGCAGTGAGCTGAGATTGCGCCACTGCGCTCCAGCCTGGGTGACAGAGCAACTCAGAAAAAAAAAACTTTGACCACACGTGTGTTCCTGGTTGTCTTTTTCTGATGGGCTTTATCATAATGACTGGGTTCAAGCCATTTCCTCTCCATGAGGTCAGTTTGTAGATAGATACTAATTTCCATATGATTACTACATGCCAAGCACTATGGTATATAATTTGTGCTACATATTTTATTCAAGCTTTTGAGACTCTGTGAAGAAGGTATCATTCCCTCATTTTCAGATGAGGAAACTAAGGCTCAGATTAAGAATTTCAATAGTATACTGCTAATAAACAGAAGAGGTGGAATTAAATCTAAGTCTTTTCTAGTGGGGTATCATCCAATCAAACATAGTAAATATTAAAGACATTTATGAACAAAGGGATGAGGGGTTTCTGAGGGACCATCTGAGAGAGTAGGGGGGAGATATCTTAATGCTTAAGGTATATCTTACAGAGTGAGTCTGAGTTTGTCATATGAAAAAATGGGAAAAGGGTGCTCTAAAAAGAGTAGTGGCCAAGCACAGTGTCTCACACCTGTAAACCCAACACTTTGGGAGGCTGAGGTGGGTAGATCACTTGAGGTCAGGACTTTGAGACCAGCCTGGCCAACGTGGTGAAACCCTGTCTCTACTAAAAATACAAAAATTAGCTGGGTGTGGTGGCACATGCCCGCAATCCCAGCTACTCGGAAAGCCAAGGCAGGAGAATCGCTTGAACTCTGGAGGCAAAGGTTGTGGTGAGCCGAGATGGTGCCACTGCACTCTAGTCTGGGTGACAGAGTGAGACTCCATCTCAAAAAAAAAAAAGTATATGCAAAGCTTGGCATTGAAAGATATGGTGAGGTTGCCAGGCATGGTGGTTTGTGCCTGTACTCACGGCTACAGGGGGGTAGATTGCTTAAGGCCAGGAGTTTGAAACCAGCCTGGGCAACATAGTGAGATCCTGTCTTTAAAACAATTAAAAACAAAAATTAGCTGGCCATGGTTCCACATGCCTGTAGTCCTAGCTAATTGGGAGGCTAAGGCAGGAGCACTGCTTGAGCCCAGGAGTTTGAGGATGTAGTTAGCTATGATTGTGCGACTGCACTCCAGTCTGGGTGACAAGAGTAAGACCCCATCTCTTTAAAAAAAAAAAAAAAAAAAAAGTATGGTGAGTTTGAAAAATAGCAAAAAGCAGAGAAGTGAAAATGACTGTAGTGGATAGAAGGGCAGCATGGAGGATGAAAAGAGTAGAAACAGACTGGAGACAGGAAAGCCAGGTAGGAGGTGGTCTCTAATCAGGCAAGAACTAATGAGGGTTTGGACTAAGGAAGAAACAGTGGACATGAAGACAAGAAGCCGGACTCACAAAAACATTTTGGAGGTAACATAAGCAGGATTTTGACAACAGAATCGTTTGTTGTATGAAGATCCTGGACTGAATGAAATCCAGGGTTTGGGAGATTTGAAGGGATGATGACCCATTAAATGAGCTGGCAAATACAGGTGGTAAAGCAGGTCTGGGATGTTCAGAGAAGGGTGGGAACACAGAATGGATGCCAAAAGCTGGGAGAAACGCCAAGTTCATGCCTATGGAAAAATGGAATTGAGGATGGAGCTAAAATTGGACTGAGGAAACTTAATCTGTAATGTCTTTCTTTCAGAAATACCTTGAAGTGATTGTACATATCTGGTGTGATATATACAAATGCTTAATTTCTGTATTTTTTAAAAAAAACTTCCCAAAATTAGTGCTTGGAATCATTTAAAATAATATAGCAAACATTTTTGGAGTGCCTGCTATGTGTCTGGCACTGTTTCAGGCATTTGAAATATTTGCTCTCTATGAAGCCTGCCTTTCAGCAGTTAGCAGGCCTGGAGTTCAGAAGTCAAAAACTGGCTTCTGATTCTGACACGGTCAGTAAGTGTATGACCTGGGCAAGTTGCTTCCCTGCCGAGCCCCATGCCCCCCAACCCCCTGCCCTGCTTCCCCCTCTCCCCCGCACCCAGGATCTATTGCAGTTTTCAAGTCCAATGACTTAATACCACAACGGTACCTCAGAATTCCTCATTCTCACAAAGCTGGTCCCCACAGTGCCGCCCCTGGACGTGAACTCCTCCATACAGCGGGTGTAGATGGGCTGGCCTAAGAACGGTTTCCAAATGGTCCTTTACGCCTCTGCCTCCCACCCCACTCTAGCCCAGGGTAACAGACTTTCCTGGTGGGATTTCAAATTTGCAAGCGAATCTTGAATATTTTTTAGTAATGAAAGAGGGTAAATTATATGTCCTAATCCCAGCCTAATCAGATTAACAGCAACTTCTGGACATTTAGTACCAGGAACTGTTTTAGGTGCTGTGGAGAGAACAGTTAAAAATGAAACGAAAATTATTGCCTTTATGAGGCTCAGTGGACAGAGTTCAAAAAAGTGACAACGTACTGCAGCACTGCGACACAAGGTAAAGCAAGCTGGGCAAGCAACACCAGCTCTTTATTCCTGCACGCCCTAATCCCCAAGTAGCTCTTCCGGGTCACTGCCGTCTTCGCCAGCTCCAGACTCCGCCCATGGCCCGTCCTTCAGGCCTTGACTCCGCCCACGCATCTGACGTACAATTTCCAGGCCGGGCTCCCTGAAGTGCCACCCACCAGCGACGCCGACGTGAGGCTACTGCCATGGGGCCGAGCGGCTGTGTGGCGCGGCTGCTCGCGCCACTAATGTGGCGCAGGGCGGTTTCTTCGGTGGCGGGGTGCGCGGTTGGAGCTGAGCCCGGGCTTCAGCTGCTGGCCATGCAGCGGCTTCCCGTAGGAGCAGCGTTCTGCCGGGCTTGCCAGACCCCAAACTTTGTCCGCGGCCTGCACAGCGAGCCTGGCCTGGAGGAGCGGGCGGAGAGGACGGTCGACAAGGGACGCCCAGAATCGGACGCGGCAGGTACGGGCGTGGAGGAGAACGAAGGCGACCTTCTCCGGGCGGTCTGGAGTCAGGTCCCAGCCAAGGTGGCTCTGGGTTCCCCTCTTTGTGCATTTCTCTTGGAGTCACAAAGCTCCTGCACATCCAGAGCTGGCAGGGACTTCAAAGATTGTTGGCGCCAACTTTCCCTTTTCACAGTGAAGAAACTGAGGGCAAGAGATGAACTGCAAAATCCCAGCCTCCCGGATGGCCACCTCCCACCCTTGGCATCACAGCCTTACCGTCCTCACCTCCTTTCACTCTGTTCCTAGGATCCTGGAAAATGGGTTTGTGGGGACTGTTGGGGCTTGAGGATTCTGAGGAGCTCTAGGGTCTGGGTGCGAAGGGGTGCGTAGGAAGCACCAGTATTAGATGGGTCCAAGTTAATATCCTCTAGTTATTGCTGACGTTTTTAGAAACTTAAGAATGATAAACAGATTACATCTAAGAATGTAGAGTATGAGAGGGAGAGGCCTTAGTGGACTTAGCTACTAGGTCCTTTGGAGTCGGCTTTAGAACTTGGGCGAGCTTTAAATTTACAGCCTGTAATACTCCAAGCTGAAGATCAGAGTATCTAAATCTTTACGGGAAAAAAAATTAGATTTTCACAGGTAACAGTTGTTAATAACCCAGTGGCTTTGTATGAAAACTTAAAGGTTCAAAATAATAATTACTTAAAAATGTAGCTCTTTCAGTGACTGACCTTAGGCCACAGTAATTCTGCTAGGCCTCAATTGAAGTTTCTTCATCTCTCAATTGAAGATTGTGGACCAGGTATATCTAAGAGCCCTTCCAGCTCACAATTCTGTGACACGTTATGACTGAGATTCAATGTAATATGCTCCAGGATATCACCTCCTACCCAATTGTGGCACTGTTTTTCTTTGTACAGCATTTCTGTGTTTGTGGTGTATTGCTCCTTTTAAGTATTAGTGAATAGAAAGTCATTTGTCACTGATGTCTGGTTATACTTGCATATGGTTAATGGTGAAGGATGTATAGTGGCTCTGCGTAATCTGAGCACTGACCATAAAAGTTGAGCAGTACTATGATACTGCTTTCTAGGTTGAGCTTCCAGGAGGCCTTTGCCCTGCTGTCTGTAAAAACACTTTGGATCTAAACACCCTCATGGAGGAACAGTTGGCTGCCGGCATCCCTGGGTGCATACGGGTCTATCTGCTTGGCCGTCCTGATACAAACAACTATTTGTGCATTTCAGATCATACTGGTCCCAAGTTTGACATCGATATGATGGTTTCACTTCTGAGGCAAGAAAATGCAAGAGACATTTGTGTGATCCAGGTTCCTCCAGAAATGAGATACACAGATTACTTTGTGATTGGTAGTGGAACTTCTACCCGACACTTACATGCCATGGCCTTCTACCTTGTGAAAATGGTAGGATGTTTTCTTTTCTCTTTTGGACCATTAACTGAGTGGGATAGTGACAGTGCATCAGGCCAAGGAGCAACACTTAGAGAGTAAACCCATCATACAGAGTTACAGAAGAAGCCCACATTTTCAGAATTTGCATGAATTCATTTTATGTTCTTTGATAGTGAAAGGTATGGGAACAAATATCTAGCCCTGTTTAGTTAGGATATTCCTAATTCTTTTCTCTTGTGACCGCAAGGAAGAATTTTTTTTTTTTTTTTTTTTTTAGTTGAGATGGAGTTTTGCTCTTGTTGCCCAGGCTGGAGTGCAATGGCGCCATCTCGGTTCACGGCAACCTCTGCCTCCAGGGTTCAAGCGATTCTCCTGCCTCATCCTCCCGAGTAGCTGGGATTACAGGCATGTGCCACCACGCCCAGCTAATTTTGTATTTTTAGTGGAGATGGGTTTCTCCATGTTGGCCTGGCTGGTCTCGAACTCCCGACCTCAGGGGATCCGCCTGCCTTGGCCTCCTGAAGTGCTAGGATTACTGGCATGAGCCACTGTGCCCAGCCGGAAGATAATATTTTATAACCCGAGGCAAGCTAGAAGACAGTATAACCAGAGGGAGTTCTAGAGGCAGTATCCATTGCGGTAGCCACTAGCCACATGTGCCTATTTAATTATAAATTAGAATATAAATTCAGCCAGGCGTGGTGGCTCACGCCTGTAGTCCCAGCACTTTGGGAGGCTGAGGCGGGTGGATCACCAGGTCAAGAGATCAAGAACATCCTGGCCAACATGGTGAAACGCTGTCTCTACTAAAAATACAAAAATTAGCTGGGTGTGGTGGCGTGTGCCTGTAATTCCAGCTACTCCGGAGGCTGAGGCAGGAGAATCATGAACCTGGGAGGCGGAGGTTGCAGTGAGCCGAGATCGCATCACTTCTCTCCAGCCTGGTGACAGAGCGAGACTCTGTCTCAAAAAAATAAATAAATAAAATTCAGTTCTGCAGTTATATTAACTATATTTCAGATGCTCAATAGCCACGTGTGGCTAATGGCTACCATATGGGATGGCTATAAAGCATTTTCATAATTGTAAAATGTTCTATTGGACAGTGCTGGCCTGGAGTTTAATTCAAATATTTCAGCATGCCCAGTGTTCCCAAGCACTGTACGGGGTATTGGCAAGGTAAGAACAAAAAAGATCTGTAGTCCTTGCCCTTACAGGTCTAGTTGAGGAAAGAAAGGGGGATTGTTTTCTAGTTGCACTGAATATGAATCAGAATGAGGAAGAAACTACTTGGAAGCCTCCAGCTGACTCTGGTACCATTCCACAGGGCCATCATACCTTTCTTAGTCTGTTGAGAATTGGTCATAGAGGAGGCAGTTAAGACCAAAAGAGTAGCTGAGATTGTATAGAGAACGGTTGTAAAATAAAAAGGTGGGGGCTGTACACAAAACCCTGGTGCAACATGACAGAGCAGAAGAAGATGCCAAAAACGGGGTAATTGGAGAGATAGGAAGAGAACTAGGAAAGCATAAAGAAGAGATACAAAGACAGCATACTAGGGTCTCTATCAGATGTTATGGTGGGATGGAGTAAGAAGACTTAGTGACCACTGGACTTGGGGATGTAAAAAGAATGGGAGGTTTTACAGAGAAGCTTCTGTGAAAGAGATAGATAGAAATTACCTTTACAAAGATTTTAGATGAGGAGAGAAATGCAAAGGCAAGAAAGTTTTGTTGTGGTAAAATATATATAACGTAAAACCTACCATTGAATCTTTTTTATTTTTATTTTTGAAACAGAGTCTCACTCTGTTGCCCAGGCTGGAGTGGAGTCTCGCTTTGTCACCCAGGCTGGAGTGCAGTTGCTCGATCTCGGCTCACTGCAAACTCCACCTTCCGGATTCCAGTGATTCTCTGGCCTAACCCTCCTGAGTAGATGGGATTATAGGCACCCACCACCACGCTCGGCTGATTTTTCTATTTTTAGTAGAGATGGGGTTTCACCATGTTGGTCAGGCTGGTCTCCAACTCCTGACCTTGTGATCCACCCACCTCGGCTTCCCAAAGTGCTGGGATTACAGGCATGAGCCACTGTGCCCTGCCCATTTAGTAATTTTAAAATGTGTTGTTCAGTAGCTTTAAGTACCTTCACATTGATGTGCAATCATTACCACCATCCATCTCCAGAACTTTTTTCATCTTGCAAAACCGAAACACTGAACTCATTAAATAATAACTCCCCATTTCCCCTTCCCTAGGCAGCTACCATTCTACTGCCTGTCTCTATGAATTTGACTACTTTTCAGTATCTCATAAGAGTAGAATCATACATTTGTGACCGACTTATCTGACTTAACATAATGTCTTCAGGGTTCATCCATGTAGCAACATGTGCCAGAATTTCCTTCTTTCTTAAGGCTGAATAATACTCTGTCTTATGTATATACCACATTTCGTTTATCCTTTTATCCATTGATGGACACTTAGATTGCTTCCACCTTTTGGCTATTGTGAATAATGCTGATATAAGTATGGGTATAGAAATACTGTTCATGAGGCTGGGCGCAGTGGCTCATGCCTGTAATCCCAGCATTTTGAGAGGCCAAGGAGGGTGGATTGCTTGAGCTCAGAAGTTTGAAACCAGCCTGGGCAACACGGTGAAACCCCATCTCTACAAAAAAGATAAAAAATAAAATAAAAAATTGACCGGGCTTGGTGGTGTGTGCATGTAGTCCCAGCTACTCAGGATGCTGAGGTGGAGGATTGTTTGAGCCCAGGAGGTCGAGGCTGCAGTGAGCTGAGATTGTACCACTGCACTCCACCCTGGGTGACAGAGCAAGACGCTGTCTCAAAAAAAAAAAAAAAAAAAAAAAAAAACCAAACAAACAAAAAGGCTGGGCTCATGCCTGTAATCCCAGCACTTTGGGAGGCCAAGGCAGGTAGATCACCTGAGGTTAGGAATTCAAGACCAGCCTGGCCAAAATGGTGAAACCCTGTCTTTATTAAAAATATAATAATTAGCTGGGTATGATGGAGGGTGCTGGTAATCCCAGCTACTTGGGAGACTGAGGCAGGAGAATTGCTTGAACCTGGGAGGTGGAGGTTGCAGTGAGCCAAGATCGTGCTGCTGCTCTCCAGCCTGGGTGACAAGAGCAAAACGCAGTCTCAAAAAAAAAAAAAATTGTTTATGTCCTTGCTTTTAATGCTTTGGGGTATGTGCAAAAAAATGGGATTGCTGGATCATATAGTGATTCTGTTTTTAATTTTTGTTTTTTCTTTTCACCAGCCTAGCACAAAGCTGAATGTTTTTAATTTTTTGAGGAGCTCCTGTATTCTTTCATAGTGGCTACACCACTTTACATTTCCTCTAGCAGTGCAGTTTCCAGTCTTCACATCCTCACCAACACTTATTTTCTGGTTTTGGTAATAGCCATCCTAATGGGCATGAAGTGAAATCTCATTGTGGTTTTTATTTGTATTTTCCTAAGGATTAGTGATGTTGAGCATGTTTTCTTTTGCGTATTGCCCATTTGTATATGTTATTTGAAGAAAAGTCCTTTGCTTTTTTGTTTTTTTTAAAGAGACAGTGTCTCACTTTGTTGCCCAGGCTTCAGGGCAGTGGTGTGGTCATAGCTCACTGCAGCCTGGAACTTCTGGGCTCAAGTGATCCTCTCACCTCAGCCTCCCAAGTTATTAGGACTAGAGGAGTAGTCATCGTCAAATTCATAGAGACAGAAAGTAGAATGGTAGGAGTTACTCTACAATGCCCAGCTAATTTTTTTTTGTAGAGACAGGGTCTCACTATATTGCCCAGACTCTTTGCCCATTTTAAAATCAGGTTGGTGGTTGTTTTGTTGTTGAGTTGTAGGAGCTCTCTATATATTCTGGGTATTAATCCTTTATCAAATATGTGACTTGCAGATGTTTTCTGCCATTCTGTGGGTTGCCTTTTTGCTCTTTTTAGAGTGTCCTTTGATGCACAAAAGTATTTAATTTTGGTGAAGTCCAATTTTTTTCTTTTGTTGCCTGTGTCTTTGGTATTATATCCAGTAAATAATTGCCAAACCAGTATCATGTTTTCCCCATTTTCTTCTAAGAGTTTTATAGTTTTAGGACTCTTGTTTAGATATTTAACCCATTTTGAGTTAGTTTTTGTGGACGGTAAGGTTTTCCATGTGGACATGTTTCCTCAGCACCCTTTGTTGGAAGGACTGTCCTTTGTGCATTGAATGGTCTTGGCTCCCTTGTTGAAAATCATTTGACCATATGCACAAGGGTTTATTTCTGGGCTCTGTATTCTGTTTCATCAGTCTGCACGTCTGTGTTTTTGCTAGTTTCAGACTGTTTTGTTTACTATAGCTTTGTTCTAAGTTTTGAAATCAAGAAATACAAGACTCCAACTTTGTTTCTTTTACAAGATTGTTTTGGCTATTTGGGGTTCCTTGAGAGTCCATATAATTTTTTTTGAGATGGAGTTTCGCTTATGTTACCCGGGCTGTGGTAGAGTGGCACAATCTCGGCTCACAGATTCAAGCAATTCTCCTCCCTTGGCCTCCCAAAGTGCTGGGATTACAGGTGTTAGCCACCATGCCTGGACCCATATAAATTTTAGGTTGGATTTTTCTGTTTCTTCAAAAAATATTGTGATCTTGATATAGATTGCATTGAATCTGTGGACTGCATTGGGTAGTATTGGCATCTTTACAGTATTGTCTTCCCATCCATGAATATGAAGTATCTTTCCATTTACTGGCATCTTTAAGTTCTTTCAGCAGTGTTTTGTAGTCTTCAATGTACAAGTCTTTTGCTCCTGTGGTTAAGATTATTCTGCTAGGCTGGGTATGGTGGCTTATGTCTGTAATCACAGCACTTTGGGAGGCCGAAGCAGGCGGATCACCCGAGGTCAGAAGTTCAAGACCAGCCTGACCAACATGGAGAAACCTCATCTCTACTAAAAACATAAAATTAGTCGGGCGTGGTGGTACATGCCTGTAATCCTGGCTACTTGGGAGGCCGAGGCAGGAGAATCGCTTGAACTTGGGAGGTGGAGGTTACTGTGAGCTGAGATTGTGCCATTGTACTGCAGCCTGGGCAACAAGAGCAAAACTCAAGAATGTCTCAATTTAAAAAAAGGATTATTCTATTATAAATGGAATTTTAAAAACTTTTTCGGGTTGCTCATTGTTACTGTATAGAAATACGATGGATTTTTGTGTGCTGAATTTGTTTAGTAGTCCTAACTGGGCTTTTTTTGTGGAATCTTTGGGCTTTTCTACATGTGAAGTTGTATTGTCTTCAGAGATAATTTTACTTCTTCCTTTCCAATTTGGATACCCTTTTTTTTTCTTGACGAATTGCTCTGACTAGAACTTCCAATACTGTGTTGAATAGAAGTAGGAAAAGCAGGCATACTTAGTTTTATTCCTGGTCTTACAGGAAAGCTTTCAGTCTCCATCACTGAATATATTAGCTGTGCGCTTTTGTTACATGGCCTTTATTATGTTGAAGTAATTTCCTTTTATGCCTACTTTGTTGAGTGCTTTATTGTCATAAGGTATTGAATTTTGTTAAATGCTTTTTCTGCATCAGTTCAGATTATCATATAGCTTTTTTCTTCATTCTATTAATGTGGTGTTATTGCATTGATCTGTTCTTATGTGTTGAACCACCTTGCATTCCAGGGATAAATCCCACTTGATCATGGTCTATAATCCTTTTAATATGGTGCTGAATTTGGTTTGCTAGTATTTTGTTGAGAATTTTTGCATCAAATGTTCATCAGGGGTATTGGTCTTATGGAATGAGTTAGGAAGTGTTCCTTGCTCTTCCATTTTTTGGGGAGAATTTGAGTATTGCATTCTGGTTTAAATATTTGGTAAAACTCGCCAGGGAAGCTATCTGGTCTAGGACTTTTGTTGACAGATTTTTTTTTTTTTTTGAGATGGAGTCTGGCTCTGTCGCCCAGGCTGGAGTGCAGTGGCCGGATCCTCAGCTCACTGCAAGCTCCGCCTCCCGGGTTTACGCCATTCTCCTGCCTCAGCCTCCCGAGTAGCTGGGACTACAGGCGCCCACCACCTCGCCTGGCTAGTTTTTTTGTATTTTTTAGTAGAGACGGGGTTTCACCGTGTTCGCCAGGATGGTCTCGATCTCCTGACCTCGTGATCCGCCCGTCTCGGCCTCCCAAAGTGCTGGGATTACAGGCTTGAGCCACCGCGCCCGGCCGACAGATTTTTGATTACTGATCCAATCCCCATACTAGTTAATGGTCTATTGAAACTTTGTATTTCTTAGTGATTCAGTTGGTAAGTTGTGTGTTTCTAGAAATTTTGCTGTTTCATCTAGGTTACCCAGTTGTTTGGTGTACAGTTGCTCATAGTACTCTTACAATCCTATTTCTCTAAAATCAGTAGTGTCACCTCTTTCATTTCAGATTTTAGTTGTCTTTTTTCTTAGTCATTCTAAGAACCAAATCCTAGTTTCATTGATTTTGTCTTTTTCCTGCCCTAATTATCGTTTCCTTTGATTTTGGGGTAATGTATATGAGATGTCCTTTGTCTCTTTTAACAGTTTTTACTTAATGGCTATCTTGTTTGATATTAGTATATCTGTCTTAACAAAATAACTGAACACATTTATAGGATGACAGGGTTCCATTAACATGTCATGAAGGCAGATGAGGTGAAATCAGTGGCACTGAGACAACCTGGCTTTATGAACAGAAGGTAGTATCTGCAGTCCCTAAAGGTAAAAGGAAGCTGGGAGGAACACAAGTGATGGATGTAGGTGGGTACCACATGCTGACAGCTTTTTCAGCCTCAGAGGCACCTTGGTGAATGAATGGGGTTACCCTCTCAGAAGGGCTGGGGCAGGAGAATTCAGGGGAGAGGTGAAAGTGGGTAAGATTTAGAGGGAGAAATAGTTTCCCTAAGTTATTCATCACAGGGCAAAGTATAGCAATGAGAAATGGGTAAGATTAAAAACAAACAAACAAAAACCAACAGACCTTCAGCAAGAACAGGCTTCCCCTTTCCCCTCTTCCTTTAATAAACCATGTGGCTTTTTGCAGTACAAACACCTGAAATGTAAACATGACCCTCATGTTAAGATTGAAGGGAAGGACACTGATGACTGGATGTGCGTGGATTTTGGTAAGTTATTCTGGCATATTTTACAGGTAACTGATGGTACTACACTAATCTTGAGTTGTTTTCAGTTGCAAAAGGATTGAGATCAAATTGATGAATGTATTCCCAGGTAAGATTTTTGAAGTGTGTTTAAGGTAACAAAAGTTTTTTTAGTTATAATCCAGGTGGTCTTATTCACATGTAGAATTTTCACCTAACCAAGCCAAAGTACCCTAGATAATGCGCACCTGGAGGAAGATATATACTACATGGTGTGTATCTACTAGCCATACAGATCAGGAAGGTGGTGGACAACAGAGTAACATAGTAGAGGCGGGAGAGATTCCTTAGTAGTGGTAGAGGAAGGTTTGGGGGCTGGGGTGCATAGATGAGGATGAGGTTATTCCAGGCACAAGAAAGGACAAGAGCAGAGGACTAGAATTTTGAAAAGGTCTAACAACTTTGGGTATTAATGTGTACATAGTTTCAAAGCACCTCCCAACAAGATACTATTTACAAAGGGAAGAACATAGCTGTATGTCAAGAACTGAGGAATCTTGAGATTTTATTCTACTGGTAAGCTAATAAGTTGTCCCGCCAGTTTTCATGGATACTGGTAAAAGCCAAGACTATTAGAGGGTTAGAGACAAAGGACAGTTTATTACAGCAGTAGCCAGCATCCATTTTGCACTGGTTTCCTGAGTTCTGGATTCCATAGGGCAACATGGGCCAGATGACACCAGCACACACAGTTGTAAAACAGGAACTCAGATGAGGGTGTCTGGGCCTTTTTGTAACTGGCAAGAGGCAGGGCTGCCTTTGCTCTGATGGTTTCTCACTTTTGTCACTATTAACCGCTTTGGACCAGGTCATTTTGCACGTGGGGTGGGGTGTCTCTTGTGCAACGGTAGGATGTTTAGCAGTATCCTCCTCTCCAATTGTGACAATCAAAAATGACCCTAAACATTACCAATATTACCCAATTGAGAAATGCTGTTGTAAGCAAAGCTGCCCTTTGCCCTGGAGGGAGGCAGTATCTTTCTGTTAAGAATATTCACAATACAAAACATTCATGGATAGTCAGAACAAAATGCAGTGTTTTGCACAAAAGATGTGCATAAGTGTGTTACCCATGGAGAATTGTCACCGAAGAGAAACCTGACCACCTTTAGTCTCTTTGATAAAGTTACTATCACCAGCAATGTTATATATTGACATATCCCTCCTATAAGGCACGCTGAGAAAGGCATAGCATCATTTCTGTGGTATTTTTACCGGGATGGGGTCCACAGTGATGCTAATCTGGGAACCACACTTGCGAACCACTGCTCTATTCCTAGAGTTATACTAGCCAATGTGTGTTGTAAGGTAAGAAATAAAAGCAAATTAACTATTCCTTCATTGTATCTCTTGTCTGTCCCTGATAGGCAGCATGGTGATTCATTTGATGCTTCCAGAAACCAGAGAAATCTATGAATTAGAGAAATTATGGACCCTACGTTCTTATGATGACCAGTTAGCTCAGATAGCACCTGAGACAGTACCTGAAGACTTCATTCTTGGAATAGAAGAAGATGATACTTCATCTGTGACTCCAGTGGAGTTCAAATGTGAATAAAATATTTTATGCACCGCTTTAGTCATTTCAGATTTGGATTGAGTCACTTATTGGAAAATACAGCTCCTAAAGCCTGCCTCCTTGGTTAGGCTGCTCTTAGGACAAGGCTTGTCTACTTCATGGGCACTCCTGCTAACTGATATGCAGAGACTGTAGATAAGTGGGCTAATACTTGCAACCAAAAATCAGTACACTCTACCCAAAACTTAGACACTCTGCCTTTATCCTAGAAATGTCATCAGAATTTCCTGGAGTGAGTTAGCACTGGCTCCTGTGATTGAGTTCTCTGCTCAGATTTTTATTCATTTAGCTTAAATGTAAATCTTAACCCTGTTTAATGGAATGGCAAAAATTTTAAAAAGTAACATAAAATGTACCACCAGCCCACTGATCCTATTTTTATACTTTTCTTTGAGGTGATAATATTCTTCTAGGAGGACTTCTGTAACCCTTCCACAATACTCCAGTAACAAAAGAAAGTAAACAAAGTGTTAGGAAAAACTCTGAAAGCTCTAGTTCTTAGTTCATATGCAAGAGTATTATCAAGGTTCACATTAAGTACCATGGCTGGACATGGTATAACAGAAATCTGTCTATATAGAGTTTGAAAAACTCAAATTCAGAATGTTCACATACAATTGAAAACCAAAAATAAAATGTACTACACAACAAACTGCACCTAAATGATGAAAAACTTTATTCTGCGTCAAGATACCTGGAAAATGAAGCTGCATTTGGGGCACATTATACATGAGGAATGATCCATATATGGTGAGTACAAAACTCAATTATAGAATTATTTCTTAGCTAGTACCAGATACTCCAAATTACAAATGCTTAAGTAAAAGTAAAATATGATTTGCCATACTAAAAGGCTAGAAGTGAAATATGACAGAATTTAAACCAGCAGATATAAATGCAGCACCTATGTGTATATTGATTAAAAATCAAATATTGGGGAAAAAAAATATTGAGAAAAGCTCTGGCCTTAAACACATCTCACCTGAAATCCAACCAGAAAGCCAGTCCATGATTTTAGCAATTTTAATTCATTGTATGAAAAAAAATATTATGAATGCTAGGAGAATCCAGTGACAAAAAGGGCACTTTTTTGGTTAAAACTACAAAAGAAACTTGTTTTGTGAGAACATTAAGGAAAACATTTTAAATCATTTTCAAAATGTCTAATTGATACGATCTTCAGAAAAAGTCTGTATAGAAATTCATCTTGAAATAAGAATGAGGCAGTGATTTTTTTTAAAGGGATATATATATATATATATCCTTTAGATCAGTGTAGTATGACTGTGATCATCTTACAAACAAAACTGAAAATTCAGAGAGCAGCGTGGCCTTGGAGACCACCCACACCCAACATAATTGTACACACTGGGCTTTGCTGTCAAGCTAAGGAGTGAGCAAATGAGTTCGGTATCAAAGGTCGTATGTTTTCACAGTCATTCAAATTATATCCCAAAAACTTTTATTCTCTATCTTTTGACTTTTTTTTTTTCCCCCAAAGAACTGATTGCAGAGTATACAGAAATCCTGCTATACTTACGTACTACTTTAGGTGGAGTCTAATTTTTTTTTTTTAATTTATCAGTGCTTAAAAATCTTCAAAATACTAGTGAGGCTCATGACAGTGCTGGCTGCATGGAAATGTAGCCTTTTGTTGCCTTTAAACACTGTCACACCATCTATGACTGTCCCATTGGTCTGAAGTGTACTGGCAAACTAAGCATCCTGTAAGACAAGCTAAAGCTTGCTTTTTGCCAACTAGTTGAAAGTCCTGCATCTCTTCATTGATGCACTTTCTTTAGGTATTGATAGTCAAAAGCACAAAGCATTTATTATGCATTCAATCATATAGCTAAACAAAAAACTGAAGTCTCCTGAAGCCATTTAAACCAGCCGTTCCAAAACCTCCTGCCACCACTTTGTTAGTACCATCAAAAACTTTCTCAACTATAAATGAAAGAATAAATGGTAGTGCTGCTCTCCAGATATTAGGCACTGCTCCGTATCTCTGAACATTTTTTTACCTAATAACTGTGTCAAAAGCCTCAAAAAACCCTGAAATTAATTTTCCAGCTTTACTGTCACCAGCCAGAAGTAAAATTCTTAATTTGCCTGTTAGCTGATTGCTGTTAAATTTTAAATTTATTTTTTAAAAAACGGTTGGACTTCTATCATTATAAAGTATATAAAATTTTCAAAAAAAAGGAACAATTTTGCTTTTTGTTGTATTATTGAATACCTGAGGTAGTTGAGTAAAAATGCACATTTAATACCCCTGCCAACACCATTCAGCACTTCCCTTAGGTTACTCATGTTAGTGTTAGGTAAAAATAAAACTGAGAACAGTTTTTCTATGCTAATGGCTTAACATTTAAGTTCCTGTGATAATTATTCTGATCCAATTGTAACAATTGGATTTAGGAGCAATCTGTTTGATGAATTTAGTGAAAGCATCATTAAGCCAATTTCTGGCATTATGGGGGAATATTAAGAATAATTAGAATATCTGTTATACTGTGAGACTACAACAAAGGGAAGTGCATAGAGCTCTTCTCTTTCCCTCCCTCCCCTACCCTTTTTTTTTTGTTTGTTTTAAAGCTGGGTGTCATACATTTCAGAGAGCATAAAGTATACATTCTCACAGAGACAGGAGTTCAAAAGTTGCCTGGTCCTCAGAAACAACTGGCTAGGTAAAAACTTGTGCATGTGATTCTGGATGGGGGGGTCAGCGCCCGTCTGTTGGTTAAGCAATCTGTCTTTGGTTTGGCATCTGCCTCTGTGGTGGGCTGTTTCCTGAGCCTTTACTTCCGTCTTGACTGAGGTGGTCCACTTTGCAGAGCCTTCTGTTGTTGGTGCTGCTTTACCTGAGTCAGAATTTCCTGAATTTTTCTCTGGGCAACCTGGAAAAGGACAGAGCTTTGAAATTCTACTTGATCAAAAGCTACTAAAAGTTATTGCACCCCTTCATTTCAACAATTTCAAATAGAAATCCATTTGATGATTAAAGATACATACTAGTCAGTTTGCTAGTAGTCTCTGAAATCACCTGCTAAAAGGGAGATGAAAAGTCTTAATCATCAAACAATCTTAACTAATTCTATCAGGTAGGAGCACCTGTGGGAAAATTGCTTCCAATTGAGAAAGATACAAAAGCTTATCCATTTTAGAGCCCACTTGCCTGGCAAGCATAGAAGTGACCAGTTATTTTGACAACCACTTGGTCATTCTCATCAGGTGTCTGGTCACGAGGGACAACAACTTCTGCACTTGACAAATTCTGAAGTTCATTCACCTGAAAGAGATAAATATAAATCACATTAAGTGGCAGTTTTAAAAGCTTCCTTCCTGAGCACTTACTGTGTGCCAGACACTGAGCTATGTATGGCTTTACAAATTTCATTTAGTCCACTAGTAATTCCATGAGGTTATTAGAATTATCCCCATTTCAAGATGATTAAGCCTCATCCAAAGAAATTGATTTGTCCAGTTACACAAGTGAATGGCAAAACCAGATTCAAATCCTGAGTCTGATTCCAAAGTGTATGTACTCAGTCACTTCAAAATTATAAATAGCTTTGAAACCCACTTACAAGTTATATGTATTAGAAACTAGAAACAGTTTGCTTTTTTTCCATTACAGATGTAACGAGCTGTAGATGAAATTCTTAAAATTCTTAAGTGTCTGTTCAATAAAAAGCTAAAGTTTTATCAAGAGAACGTTAAATGCTCTTTATAAATATAGGACAATCCTCTCACACAAAGTGATCTGAAAGAGATGCATTACTTTCACTAATAGCTGGCGCCAACACTCAGACAGGAAACAAAAGGCAATCTTCTCCAAACCTTGGTCAAGATGGTCCTGCTTTTTATAAATTAGCCAAAATTCGGGGACTTGGAACTCCTAAGTACCTTTCAACGCTTTCCCTTTCATACCACTGCACAGGTTTTGCTGAAGTACTTGCCGTTTTGCCTCCTTTTCCAATAACTCTGCCAGCAGCAAAGGATGGCACTCTGATATGAGCTTCAAGTTTCACCTCTTCTTTAGGACTAACAAAGTTTTCTTCTTTAATTTTTCCATAAATTCTTCCCTGAGCCTACAGATTAAAACACATCCTATTAGTGTCATTCATGTATGAAATGGAAAAGGTCAGTTAACTCGAAAGTGGGATATCCCAAATCCAAGTGGGATAGCCCTTTGCAGTGACACATCTACATTTCATAGATTATTGAAAATAACATAGAAGAGAGCGTTAGGAAGTCCTAAAAGGTTGACAATAACTACTACCCATCACAGTAGAGGCAACTGAATGCTTGGTGGAAGAAGGATAAGCCATATTCTTCTGATGAAAATAGTTAAAGGCAGTTAATAGCCTAATAAAAATAAATTTTTGTGGGCAAATGGCCATTTGTACTAAAATTGTGATAGGTAAAATTCTCATGCTGGCCATGAGAAATTAATTGCATTTTTCTTTCCTTTTTTTTTGAAGATGGGGTCCTTCTGTTGTCCAGGCTGGAGTGCAGTGGTATAATCATAGCTCACTGCAGCTTCAACCTCCTGGGCTCAACCGATCCTCCCACCTCAGCCTCCTGAGTAGCAGCTGGGACTATAGGCATGCAACACCACACCTGGCTTTTTTGAGATGGAGTCTTACTTTGTTGCCCAGGCTAGAGTGCAGTGGCACGATCTTGGCTCACTGTAACCCCTGCCTTCCAGGTTCAAGCAATTCTCCTGCCTCAGCCTCCCGAGTAGGTGGGATTACAGGTGCCCGCAACCACACGCGGCTAATTATTTTTGCATTTTTAGTAGGCATGGGGTTTTACAATGTTGGTCAGGCTGGTCTCGAACTCTTGACCTCAAGTGATCTGCCCACCTCAGCCTCCCAAAGTGCTAGAATTACAGGCATGAGCTACCGTGCCACTAATTTTTATAGAAATGGGGGTCTTGCTATGTTGCCAGGTTCATCACAAACTCCTGGGCTCAAGAATCCTGCCTTGGCCTCCCAAAGTGTTGGTATTACCAGTGCACGCAACCACACCCGGTCACATTTTTTTTTTTTGAGCAAGAGAGACTGAGAACTGCAGAGTCAGCTATGCCAGGCTCACTAAAAGTCAAACTCATGTCTACATGGGCCAGTTAGAAACCTGCTGAGAAAAATGTTTTCAATTTAAATGTGTTTCATACTCTTAGAAGGGTGGTTTTTTCCTTTGAATATTTTAAAGAGGCTACAACATCAAGACAAGACACTTTTTTTTTTTCTTTTTTGAGACAGAGCCTTGCCCTGTCATCCAGGTTGGAGTGCAATGGTGTGATTTTGGCTCACTGCAACCTCCGACCCCCGGGTTCAAGCGATTGTCCTGCCTCAGCCTCCCGAAGTAGCTGAGATTACAGGCGCCCGCCACCACACCCAGCTAATTTTTTGTTGTTATTTTAGTTGAGATGGGGATTCACCGTGTTGGCCAGGCTGGTCTTGAACTCCTGACCTCAGGTGATCCACCCACCTCGGCCTCCCAAAGTGCTGGGGTTACAGGTGTGAGTGACTGTGCCTGGCTTTTTAAAAAAAATTTTTTTTAAGAGACAGAGTCTCTTTCTGTCACTCCGACTGGAGTGCCATGGTGTGATCTCAGCACCCTGCAACCTCTGCCTCCTGGGTTCAAGC